ATTATATTTAAAAAGTAGGACTAAAACTAGTGCATTTTACACACATCAGGTGCTCCCGTCGTGAGCCTTGCGTAGGTGCCAACGCGAAGTCTGGTGCTGACCCGTGGCGCCGGACACATGTAAAACAGTCAATCTTTAAAAACTCATAACTTTCATATACGAACTTTGTTTTTGACATTCTTTATATCCACACGTAGGTAAAGACAAGATCTACAACTTTCCATTTGACTCCATCGGTTAATTCTTGACCGATTCTAAATTTAACAGTATGAGAAGATTACATTGTTAAATGACCGTGTAAAATTTATAACTTCTACATACGAACTTCGTTTTCGTCTGTCTTTTTATCGTTGAGCTCCTATTAATGAGATCTTCAAGTCTCATTTAGGTTACGTTGGCCAAAAATGGATCGATCTAAAATTCAAATTTTGGGCTATACATTATTATGCCAAATCTTGAAATATCATAACTTCCTCATACGAAGTCAGATTTGGGCGTTCTTTTTATGCACACTCTCGGTTTGAAGTATACTAACACTTTAATTTAGATCTTGAAGGATAAAAAGTAGTACATCAAAAATTCACTTTTTACGTTACGCTGTGTCGTGTTGGTTTTGTCATAAAATTTCGACGGGCCATAACTTCTTCGTTATAATTCGGATTTTGGCGTTATTTATATGTATGGAACCCTTATAGCATATAATATAACTTGGTTAAGATTATTCTTTCAAAATAATCTTCCATCAAAAAGTCATTTTTGACGGTTATTGTCTCTAATTTGACTAGCCCGAATCTGCGGGCGTTACATTGTAGGTCTAGCAAGTTATGGGACTTCAAAATTATAACAGTAGTGTTTTGGTTCGAAAGTTAAGGAATTAGTGACTTGTTCAGCACTAGAAGGTTTAACTCTCATAATGCCTCTTGTGGTGCAATATGTTCATGGATTCGTTATCTTCAGGATGAGTCTTTTACTCGAAGGATTGTCTAATCCCTTTTGTCAAGTGGAAACTTTCCGACAGTAGCGAATGGCCTGTGATTCTATTTTCCAATGGGAACATCAAGTACTCATAAGTTTGGTAGTCAAATGGAAGACAAAGTGGAATTGAATTAGCAGTGGTTCAGTATGGGTTGTCTGTCACGGAGTCAGACAAGTTCAAGATTTTAGATTTCGAGTAAAGTAGAAGTGGTTATTCTTCTGGGGTTAATTTAAGTTGAGTAAGGATTCATTCATTGTCGGGATTTGGGAGCCCTTCTAAGGTTGGGTTCTGTTAGACTTTAGAAGGTTGTTGTATGCCCATGGTTGCTTACTCGGTCCACATCGGGGTTATGGTTGATTTGCTCAGGCTGTCTGGCATGCCTGGGATGGTAAGGAATGATTTCAAGGACAAAATCTAATTTAAGTGGAAGAGAGTTGTAACATCCGATTCAAAGTACTTTTTAGTTTAGACCCTTGGTGTGTTAATGTTTTGCTATTTTGGTCCCTAGGGGGCAGAATTCCCAACTTCAGGAAAGTTGGAGTACGCTGGGCATACTCCTTATACGCTGGGCGTACTAGTATATTTAGGGTCGCGTATTCAGTCCATGTCCACTGGGTGTAAGTGGAGTACGCATGGCGTACATGTGGATTATGAAACCTTAATTTCTAGGGTATTGCACCCTATTTAAGCCTTATGATTGCCTCATTTGGTCATGTTTAGATAGCCTCCACCCTTCCTTGTATAGGATTCAAAACCCTAGTGAGTTCTTGAAAGTTTTGAGCCATAAAAAGTGTTTGTTGGTGCTTTGTGAGGGAGAAAAAGAAGTGGACCATTTGGAGTTGTGCTTGGATCTTGAGGATACGAGATTAGCTTATCATTTTCTAGCCTTTTGATGTATAAATCTCACAACCTGCTAATCTATGATGCTAGATCTAGTTATTTTGCTATTTTTGTGCTTTTTGAGTCCTTGGAGTGATTGATGAGTTTCTAGATTCACTCCAGAAGTGATTGATGGTAGATCTAGGTTTATTTTGGTCCCTTTGTCCATAAAAATGCAAGCTTTGAGGTGTTTATGGACTCATGCATGTGTTAAGACCCTTTGTTAAGTTCTTTTGAGCTCTAGAGCCCCATTAAGTTATGCATGCACGTAAAGTTGCCAATTTTATGTGATAAGCCACCTTAAGGAAGTCAAATCTGATAGTATGAAGCAAGGGTTGAATGAATTAAGTGCTTAATGATGTGGGATGTCAAAATGGGGAATACATAGGCATACAAACCGGTACGCTGCGCGTATTTTCCCCAGAGCGTGTACACTAAGTGTACGAGCTGAGTGCGCCCCGCGTACTTAGCAGTGGGCTTTGGAATTTTGGGTTTTTCGGTATTGTACCCATGTTGGACCTTAGGAGTCTAGGGCTTTGTTGGGCCATCAAAATTCTATTTTTGGGCTGATGCTATTGTGTTGGACTCTTTTGGTTAAATGCCTACGAAGGGATTTGGGCCCAATTTGGAAGATTGGACCATATTTGGGTTTTGGGTGATCATTTTGGAATTTGGACATTTTGGATAGTTTACTTGCGCCAAGTTCTATAAAGGGTAAAAAGGTCTTTCAACATAGTTTGGACTCTTAGTGTGAGTCGAGATCCAATTATTAATTGGATGTTATTTTATGATATATATATATATATATATATATATATATATATGTATATGTATGTGTGTGTTATGGTGTAAGTGTGTAATTAAACAACTAATGCATATTAATAGCAATTTTATTGCATGAAATAATGATAGCTACAAATATAATAGAATACAGGGGCGGATGTATGATTTCACAGTAATGGTGTCAAGGGAAACTCATGGGTTGTACAATAGTACAAAAAATAAAATTTTCGAAAATTTTCCATTATGTCCGAAAAATCTGGGGTTGTCAGTGCCACCATGGACCCATCCTAAAACTGCCACTGATAGAATACGATCATGTCATATTAGCAATAAATGTTGCTTTAACAAGAAAAAAAACGTACTTCGTGTCATTTAAGTAAATGAAAAGTTGCTTTAACATGAAAAAAACATGCTTGGTTAGCATCATAAAACTTAAACAAAAAAACAGTGTATTTTGGTTAAAGAGATGCTATATTTTTTGTTAGGTTAAATTTACATGTAATCAAGGTCGTATTTTTTGTAAGTAAAACTATAATAAAAATTGTATATAAGTATAAAAATATTGTATTTGAAACATTAAAAATATGAATTTGCATGATTGCATGTGAAATCTGATTGGATCTATATTATGTATAATACCTGCAACTCTTTCGGAAAAGGATTACTCTGTTGTCGCGTAACACAACAGTTGATAAAGTGTTACTTTAGGCAAAATAGTGTTACTTTAGGCAAAATTCAACATTTTCAAGGCTTAATGCAAAATTTTACCAAACTTTCGTTAGTTTCATTTTATTGTAGTGATTGTAATTTAGATTTTAATGGTTGTAAGTTGTTAACCTTGCATTTATCTCTAATTAGTTTATCACACCATCGTATATGTTATGTTAAATGTTAAAACTTCGACCATTTATGACCAATTTTTGCAAAATGTCTTTCTTAAAATTTAGTATTATCCAAATTACTTAAAATACATTTTAAATAAGCATTTCAAATAATTCATACGAGATGTATTTCATGATCTACCTCTGGCTGTTGTGTGTGTCTTGGCCAAAACCTCCTCTTATGGTCATCAAAACGTCAAGTCTAGGATCTCATGCCAAACAATGTTGTTTCCTAGACATGTTGGTTTCCCAATTTGTTTTGCGAACTCTAACAACCACCTACCACTGCTACCATTATCTACTATAACAATGAAACAATGTCAATCTCGTTTACCTCGCCTTAAATCATGTTCAACATTAAATACGTCCAAGTTGAACGTTCAAAATCATCGTCCCGCTCAAACCCAGAGGGAGGGGGGGGGGTGTTATATATATATATATATATATATATATATATATATATATATATATATATATATATATATATATATATATATATATATATATATATATATATATAGAAGGTTAGGTTCATGTCATTTTTTTTCTTTTATTTAATTCAAGTTCCGAAAATAATATTTAAAAAAAAAAATTGGATTTTTCCATTTATTTTGCATTTTAAAACTATTTTATAGAATATGTATAGTGTAATATTCTATTAGAATATTTCACGTATTTTAAAAAAAAATGATTTTTATTTTTATTTTTTTTAGTTAATTCAAGTTCCGAAAATAATATTAAAAAACAAATTTTTAGATTTTTACATTTATTTTGCATTTTAAAATTATTTTTTAGAATATGTTAGTGTAATATTCTATTAAAATATTTCACGTATTTTTCAAAAAAATAGGATTTTATTTATTTTTAAAATTTTTTTTGTAGTTAATTTACATTCCAAAAATAATATTTAAAAAAAAAGAATTTTTGGATTTTTTTTTCATTTATTTTGCATTTTAAAATTATTTTTAGATTTGATCTCACGATCTCACAAAATTAGAATGACATCAAATGAACCTGAACCCTCATATCTCTCTCTCTCTCTCTCTCTCTCTCTATATATATATATATATATATATATATATATATATATATATATATATATATATATATATATATTATTCTATATTGTATATCTACAATTTTCCCTTGCAAATCTATATAATGATATGAATGAGATACGACATATTATTGGAAATTAACACAACAAAAACTAAATGAAATGCTTCACTTTTTTCCATTTCTTTAATTTTTTTATAAAAAAAATGCTACTTTATCCGATTTACATAATATTCTATATAAATATAATTTTAAAATCGTAAAAATCATTTTTTTCATTCTCTTTTATTTAGAAGGTTAGTAAAAATAAGTATTTATAAAAAAGCACACTCTGATTTTTGAGCAATCATGATGTTTTGATCGGACAAAATACATGCGAACAAAATTTCACGATTGATTACATCCGAACCGAACAATGCTTATGATTACTTGATGGACCCCATGGATATGTCGATTTCAATCAAATTTTCTTCCTCATTCATCTCCGACCACCGGTAAATAGATTCCGGTGATAATTGCTCAAAACACAACTCTTCTTCTTCATCATCTTCTTCTCCTCCTCCTTTCAACCCAACATAGTCCCCGGCCGGAAGTTCTATTTCTATCAGGCTCTCCTCGTCGGAGCAGTCGGGACTCTCGCTCGGAAACTGCCCACAGTCAAAGTCGGAATCCTCTTCACTGGTGGATGAAAACCGGCCAATAATGTCTTTTTCCGAGAAAGATTCCGGCAAACCTGTGTCGGAAAAACCAATCTTTAATTCATCTTGAGCCTGGTTTGAGATCTTCCGATCAGAGCAGATATGATCATGGTCATCTTGTTGTTGCGACTGTTCTTTCTTAAGAACTTGTACTTTGAGTTTTGCTAGTGGCAAGAACAGAAAGGTAGAAGAAACCAATATCAAAACTGTGATGAGGAAGAAAAAGATGGGGAAATTACAGAAAGACCCATAAGCGTATGTGAGAATGGGGAGAAGAAAAGCAATAATCCATGGGGTTTTTGGGAAATAAACACAGGATTTCGTATGAGTTAGAGAATAGAAACTAATGAATCTTGGAAGTGTTAAGAATACAAGAAAGGATTCTTTTTGAGCAGACACACATGCACTAAAACCCTAAAAACATAAACATTGTAAAGATTTGAGAAGCCATGGCCATGTGACCACCTCTTTCTTCACCACATGGCTTTTTGAAAGTTCAAATCAAATTGCCTCAAATAGCAAATAATAATTAATTCTTAATTATGATACCAAAAATTATATATATATTTTTTATGAATGTAGATAATGTATAGAAATCTGAAGCACTGGTTACCGACTAGATATGACAAATTTTTTTAGAATTATAATTGTTGATTAATAATCAAGTTTTATGTTTTAACTTTTAGTATGAATGTGTTTATTTTTTGTGTTATTTAAAAGAAAGAAATCCAAAAATTTGGATGTATGGTTTAAACAATTCAACATTGTATTTTATGTCAGAATTACTATTTTTAGTTAAGATCATCTTCGATAATGATGGTAATAAGATGGATAAGGGCCGGCCTTCTTCATATTTGTTTATAGGGATTCTTTTTAGGGAAAATGACTATTGAGGGTAATTAACTTTTGTATTTGTATTTATTTGGTCTTTTTTTTATTTATTTATTCAATATACCATCGAACTTATTGTTTGTGTTCACCATAACCCTTTTGACAGGCTTTTGACCTGTGATAACCGGTCAAAGGGTTATGGTGAACACAAACAACATGTTCGATGGTATATTGAGTACAAAAAAAAGGAAAAGGACCAAATGAGAACAAACACAACAGTTGGTTACCCTCCTGAGTCATTTTCCCTTTACTCATTTACAGCAAATCTTACATCAACTCCTACTGATATTAATGACTTTATGAAATTCATTCTTACTTCTCTTCAAAACATAACTCACGAAAGAGCGCTATTCATACATGTACAACTTTGTAATGCACTTGAATATTTATTAGGGGAATCTTGACTAAGCAGACGCATTTCACGACTACATTTACATTTCCAATCGAATGATTTATCGTATCATGGATTCTAGACAAGTCTACAAATGAGTGGAATCACAAGTGTTGTGATTTTTTAGTTTACTTAGCTTTAAGATCGAATTCATAGGATAAGATACAACATCAATATGTACAATATCATGCTGTTTTTGCAGACACATCACCATAATATACCTTGAGGTAAACGTTTATGCTAATAAATATACCTCTCATACACAATCATATCCTTTTGAAGAGAGGTGTTGACAGCTAACCACAGTAAACATAACATAGATCATGTTTTAACGAAGTTACTTCTCTGAAACGCTCTTCATATACGTTATAGCCAAAGAAGGTTGCAATCTTTGATAATTTTGCAACTTTAATTTTATTTAACTTTTCGAGGAAAATGACTCAGGAGGGTAACCAACTGTTGAGTTTTTTTCTCATTTGGTCCATTTCCTTTTTTTTTTGTACTCAATATACTATCGAACTTATTGTTTATGTTCACCATAACCCTTTGATCGGCTATCACAGGTCAAAAGTCGGTCAAAAGGGTTATGGTGAACACAAACAACAAGTTCTATGGTATATTGAATAAAAAAAAAGGAAATTGACCAAATGAGTACAAACGCAAAAGTTATTTACCCTAAAGAGTCATTAGCCCTTCTTTTTAATCGGATACTTTTTAGTTAGCAATTTTAATTTAACAAAATCGAATAATATCCGATTTAATCGGTTTTTGGGATTCGGTTCAATTTAAAGGGTAAAGTAAATAAGATTTCATATGTTGTAATCTTTTAGACCAATTGTTTTTCCGTCACAAACTAAGAAACTAAGACTAAAATTTGTTCATCGTAGGTTCTTTACAAGTCATGGTAGCCCTATTCACGGTTTATATTTTTTCCAGTTTTGTTTAGACTTTTGAGTTGATACTTCAACACATGATTTTGGAATAACGGGGCTTGCACATGACTATTTAATAAAATTCCTAAAGCTAGCAACATTTTCTATTAAAAGTCCTAAAGCTAGTTTTATTCATTATACCGGTAAATTGTTTCATGTATATAACAACATTTTCCGATAAAAGTCTCAAAGCTTGTTTTGATCATATAAAAAGTAAGGGTTATTGACATAACAAGACATCAAAGTTTTACCATTGGTTTTAAATGCCTCTTGAAGACACTTTCATCTCCGAAGTTTTCTATTGAAGACACTTTCATCTCCGAAGTTTTCTATTGAAGACACTTTCATCCACATAGTTGTTATATGATTGAGATAACACACTTTCATCTCCGTAGTTTTCTATTGAAGACGGGAGTCCTTTCATTGATCGATGTAGATTTTTCTTAAGAAGTTAAACAATTATTCTTCAATTGGTGATGGATCTACCCTTAGCTTCGAAAACCTTTGACTACTAGAAGAGACCGTGTATATATATGTGAGTAAAAACCTTTGACTATCAAAGTCAATGTAAATATGAGGAATGGAACTAGGAAACCGGTTAATTTTGTATGAAATGGTATATTAGACAGGTAAATGGTCATTTAAAACCAAATGTAAAATTTTAATGTGTTTTTATGTCAATGACCTAAAAAGTAAAGTAAATAGCTTATTGAAAATATTGGTGTGTCAAATATAATGATTTGATGATGTAAAATATAAGAACAAACATAATCATGGAGATGTATTTGGTGAACAAGATATTGTATTCAATAATGATAACGAAATTAAAAAAAGGGAAGATTGCAATCTATCTAATCTACGTTAAAGAATCTCAACTATGATGCAGAGTATAAGAACAAACACAATCACAAAGATGTATTTGATGAACAAGATATTGTATTCAACTATGATAATTAAATTAAAAAAAAAAAAGGAAGATTGCAATCTATCTGATCTATGTTAAAGAATCTCAACTCATTCAAGGACTACATCTTGCCGGGCTAACTAAAGTAGACTTTTGAGCTAGAAGTAATATGAGAATAAAGGTTTCTAACAAAATGAATGTGGGCTGAGGCATTTTGGGCTCTCTAGATGGGCCAATTTATGATAGTCGTTGACCTAAAGTGAAGATGGGACTTGAAGGAAGCAATACAAACAAAAGTTTTATTCAATGTGTATATCTAATTTTGATATTTGCATCTATATCCAAAAAAGATAAATCAAACAGAAATGTAATGTTAGACTCGTTATTTAAAACCCAAAAACATTATTTTGGACTTGAAAAACAGATAAATCATGTTATCGTTTGGGACGAAGGGTCATTTCTGAAATCAAAAGTTTTTATTGATCTGTTTAAAAGATTGTGTGATTACTTTCCAAATATAATATTTTAATCCTATATTTGAGTATCCTGAAATCCATATTTTGAGGGTAATTTTTCAAGGAACAATTTCAATTCAAAACACTAATGAGAAACTACGAACTAGAGATTAATAGAATTTGATTGTCAAAGATAAAAGAACAAATTAGCATTAAATGTTGATTTTATCATATAAATAATGAATGTGAGTTTAAAAGATAATCATAGAAAATATATTATGAAAATAATATTTTCCGTAAAATTTCTTTAGCTTTCAAGCAGTGGTGGATCTTTTGGAGATGGGAGGAATGAGAATAACGTAAGCAATCATTATTAAAGAAAACACATCATTGAAGATAACGAAACATTATAGAAGATAATAATTTTATCTTGTCTTTTGTAATTATGTAAGTGTCAGTAAGAATAATTTGTATTTGTCGTTTGTATTAAAATAGTGTCGGTAGGATGTAAGACCCCCCATAGTCTAGGGGTCTATATTGTAAATTATGTGTATCGTTTTGCAATCAAACGATTGCAACTATAATTGTAACGGGTTCCTTCGAGCTTATAAATAGGGCCTTCGCCCATATGAAATAAACAAATTAAGTTTGAGTGTTTAAGACTTGAGTTGATCTCAAAGTTTTTCTCTGTTGAAATAGTTTGTCTATTTCTGAATAGCAGAGTTTTATCCAAACTATCCACATAAACATTCAATTATTCAACACAATTCATCATCAAGACAATCCAACGCATCAATCAGGTATAATCTTATCCTATTATTCATTTATCCGTCATGTTGTTAAAATTGGTATCAAAGCTAAGTAACGTTCTTATTATTTTACATATTCAATCTATTGTCAATAAGAAAATAAACATATGCAACATCGTAAACATAATAACGAAAAGTCATTGTTTTTAAATACTCATATTTAAAAAGTCATCACCAACAATTAAAATATTTATCATAAGAAGATTTAATATCATAAATATGTCTCAAGATATTTTCAATTGTTATACTACTTTTATTTCTCCATGATAGTATCATTTCGAGTTTTTCTAACTATTAATTCTACAAAATTTGAAATTTTTATTAAAATAATACTCATTTTTATTAATAATCAAATTAATCAAATTCATGCTTGAAATATATATTTATGTCTAACAAAATTTTGATGAATTGTATTCCTAATAGAAATATTATTTTAAGAATACAGCAAATACATGAATCTATTAATAATTCTGAGCAAAATCTTAAGGATTCTTACGAAGCTAATAATCAAGGTACGGTTTTAAACAATAACCATATTCATGATGTTAGATATTTTATAAGAACTAGTATTCGTTACAAGCAAATACGTCATCTAAAAACAAAACTATTTGTATTTTAAAATAAAACATATAACTTTTAAATATTAATAAATATTCATTTGTATTATTGTTTCTTTCTTTGGTATGACCGTCTTTATTTGTCATCATAAACATTATATAAATAATCATCATTATAAGTTATTAAAGTTATAATTATGAGTTTTTCAAGCCTAAACACAAATAAACAAGAATTAAATTTTCTTCGTAAAACATTAAAACAGTTTAAAAAATTTCTTCTAAATTTAAAAATAGATTCTAACATATCAATAATAAATTGTATATCTAATATTGAAGCAATACATATAATAAATAATAGTATAAATTGAAAACAAGAACAAATAAAAAACCTTGAAGATAAGATAACAAAATTAATTTGTTAAATAAGTTTCAAAAAGATAGAAAAAGCGTTGACAATAACTAATTCACTAGAAAAAAGAAACTAAAAATTTTATATATATGGAAACTTTACAAGAAAAAGTAGAAACACTAACTAAATTATTTGCAGCATTAGAAATTCCGTCTGAAACTCAAGAAAATAATATAATAGAAAATAATTCAGATAATGATGACGCAGAAGTAATATATGATTTTTCTTCAGATGATGAAAACCCTTATTCAAATCCATATAAAAATTCACAACACAATTTTGAATTAAAACGAAAACAATCATATGTTGAAGATGATTATCAAAGTCAATATATTTATGGACCACCTTCGTTAGAAGAAATTTTTTTATATAGACAAGGAATGGTCAAAAATAAACAAAACAAATGGGAAAAAATCCCTCCACAATATATACCTAAACTATTTACTTTTCCAACAAATTCAGATATTCTTTTTATTGATTGTGAGCAAAATCCCGAAGCAAAAATTCAAGAATGGAGTAATAAAATGGGAATTCAAATTCAACTAACTAAAGAATTAAGAAATCGACATCCAAATAATTTTCTTAATTATATTATACATAAAACATAGGGCAATGCATATCGTTTCCTTTCATCTCTCGATGAAACAGAGACGATGATGATAGCAACCACTGACGCTATGGAAACATTTAAAAATGTATTAAATCGGCTTATTCAAGAATTCATAGCAAAACAAATAGAAGATAAAACATATCAAAAAGCTTTTCAATTGGAATCATTATGGCATCTAACTAACTTACGAATTTGTAACATGTGTTATTTAGACCCATTTATATGCGAGTATTCTGAACATTATTATAATCTAGATTTTACTAGAAAAAAGATAGCATTAGACATGTTTTACCAAAAATTACCATCATTAGTAAGTCAAAGTGTAATAAAAGATTTCCAAGAAGCATTACAACAAAATAAAATTGCAAAGACCTTAGGAGCAAGGATAAGTATATTAAAAGCATGGATGCAGAAAATATGTTTAGAACAAAAAATAACACAAGATGCAAGAATTTATGCTGTGATACCTTATCTAATAAAGTTAATCAATATGGTTGTAAAGATAATAAAAAACAAAAATATAAAAAGAAAATTTGGAAAAACAAACTTATAAACCTAAATATAAACAATATTATAAACAAGGTGAAAGAAAATATTTTCGAGACAGAAAACAATATAAGAAAAAATATCAATCTAACACAAATTACTGTCCATCTAATAAAAAAGATTGTAAATGTTGGATATGTCAAGAAGACGGACACAAAGCCTACGAATGTCCAAAAAAGACTAAAAAAGAAAAAGAAACAAACTTATTAAAAATTGCATATGATCTCGGGTATGAACCTATAGAAGATTCAGGAATAAATTCAGATATAGACATTTATGCATATACAACTAATACTGATTCTGATTCAGGTAAATAGTCCTATGAAGAAAGCATTATTGGGTTTAGAACATGAGGGAAACCTCATATCTAACCTATCTAAAGTATACATTGCTAAAGCATATATTGGTATGAAAATACCATCCAAAGTAAACAATGATAAAGTATACAGTGATATGAAAATATCACCAAAGCATACATTGATATGAAAATTCTCATATCATAATTTAAAATATTAAAAGCAAACAAAAATCAGCAATTATTCAGGTACCCAAAAGGCGCAAATATTCATTCAGCAGAAATATTGAAATGGAAGCCATCATGAAGCAAGTCAAACACTAGTTTAGACAAAAAGAGGAGCAAGAAGCATCATTAATCAGACAGCTTGAAGTAGTCAAACGTGAAAAAGAGCAACTACAACAAACAATACAAATTCTATCATCTTATTCAGCATCTAAAGAAGAAGCAGCCAGCAGCTCAACAACAAAGCAACCAAAAGAAGAAATTCAAGAAATATCATCCGATGAAAGTCAACCACAAATAGCACTCGAAACAGAAAAAAAAATTATGATGCCAAACTAGGAGGAGTATCCACCACTACAAGCAGATCATAAAAATATAAAGAAATGGTACGTAATTTTCAACGGAGAAAACAAAGGAGTATATGATGATTGGGGAATCGCCAGTTCATATATTCTTGGAAAAAATATCATTCACAAAAGTTACAGAACGAAAAATGAAGCAGAAACC